TACAGGTTCATTCAACAGGTTTATTTTCCAATGTGACCTGCTGATTGTTTATACATGTGTTTATATATGTGTGTGTGTGTGTGTGTGTGTGTGTGTACATTCATGCTGCATGGATTTGTGGAGGCTTAGATGTTGACTATATTTATTTATTACACTCAGGAAGGTCTTGAGTACATTTCATATTACGTCAACCTCTCCTATTTGTTATCTGAAACTGTATATGCTTTATATGTGTGTTGTTGCCTCTGGAAGCCACTTTTCCACTTGATTAAGAAAAAAGTCTTATTTCCAGTAGCCTAGCTTAATTAAATTATGTCTAAATCATATCCTAGAGCCTGCACATGTAATGCACACAAGTTATTTACTGTGCACAGTACATACAATCAACCTCCATTCTACTAAAAGCATATAAAATACAGATAAAAGCCAGAACACAGAAAATTACTTTCAGAAACACAGATTTATTATGAGCATAATCTTTTCAAAGCTGGAAAAAGACAACATCAGTGTCGCCACTGTTGGTTCTCATTATTTAACACAACATGTAAATAATTAATCGGACGGGGACTGTCTCATTGATCGTGGTATTGAATTCCGCTGATGTAATTCTCTGACAGAAAACATGCTTTTCCCTCCAGCTGCAGCTCTAGTAGCTCTTCTGGCTTCTTCCACTTATATGACCCCTCAGAAACCTCAACTACAGGCTAAAATAAGACCAAAAATATATAAATTCAATGGCAAAGGGTTGGGGCTCCACCGTGAATTTATAAGACAGGATTTATAAGATCGGTCAGGATTGCAGAAAGAAGAGGAGAAGAACACACATTTCTATTCACGTCATTTTATTGAAACCATGTGATGAACGTATGTGCGTAACAGCTTCTTTAGTGTCAAAATGATCAGAAACCACTGATTTCACAACAACAACAACAACAACAACAATAACGTATATTTTATGAGCTGATCGTATAATTTTTCAGCTAAAAGTCAAATCAATGCAGTAAAAGGTGCAGTACTTCCCTGTGAATGTTCATCATTCATCAAGCTTGAATAAATAAACTGATTTACTTTCCTCAGATCACATTAAACATAATAAAAAAATAACTGTTCTTTTTTTTTTTTTTCAGCGATAGCTCCGAAGAGGCAGCAGGTGGTGCTGTTTGATTCAGTAACTTTCAGGAAAACTCAGATTGTATTTTAATGTTTATACACTGAGGCGAAGTAATCTTAGTGGATGTAAACGTCTGACTTTGAAGAACAAAAAACTCTCTAATAAATTCTCTCTCTCATTAATCTGGGATTTAGCAAATAGAAATAATTTTGTTAATCCTAACTGACCTAAAACAGGAAAAGTTTTGTCACAGGTAATGTCACACGGTGAAAATAAAAAAGGTGATGTGTCTTTTTTATACAGTAAACGTCTGGTTTCAACAGCAAATAACTCAGAAATCTGCTTTTCAAAAATTACTCCCAGTCCAGCCAGCTGAGCTAGTTTCAATTTAACTGGTGGAAATTGCATTGAAATACATGATTCCATTCTAAATACGCACGTGTTTGTAATTCAACAGTTTTAAAAAAAAATCAGTACACATAGAAAATAAATCTACATTTTCTTAAATACTCTTATTTGACCTAATAAATCTTTAGCTCTATCTTTAAAAGCAGCATATCCCTCTTCCCCTCACGTACCACTGTGCCTTTTCCTTCACGTTTATATTTCTTCATATTTTCACTAAAGATTAATGCTTACAAAATCAAGTAAAGATGAATTAAATCATCGATTAGAATCAGTCAAATACAGAAATAACAATATTTGTGAAGTTCAGCGAGACATATATTTCAAAACAGCATGAGGCTAGTTAATAGTAAAGCTCTGGTTTGTTACATTTACATAGTTTTTAATGAAATAAAATGTGAATAAAAACATCTTGACTGTGCCGTGTGGCTGAACGCACCTACAGCAGCTACACTAAGTCATTTACTGGTGTGTTCTCAGCGTTGCTTGGGTTTTTCTTTCTCTGTTTGTGGTTCAGTCCTCTGATACAACCTGATTACTTTGCTGTTGTGAAGGTCCTTCCACACGTCCTTCTCCATCAGGTAGTCGTGGTTAACGTAGAAATGGACGTTGGTTTTAACGGCCTTCTCGAAATAGTAGTTGGAGTATTTCTTGTAGTCGTCTGTCATGAAACCGTAAGCGCTGACCTGAGGATACAGGAGCAGAATCGATTTAATAGATATAGAAGTAGCATGTTTAATGTTTTATTTATAGCATATTCCTTCTGTTTTAATGCTAAGCTAACTGCATCCAGCTACGTATGTGCATGAGAGGTGTGTGGATCTTCTCAGTCCTTTGACAAACTGGCACGCTGTTCCTTTCAGAGCTGCCAAAATAAACTTGCAAGTTATTTTTATGTCTTGCAGAATGTGAAGGTTTGGATGCCGACGGCTGCTTTGTGACGCTAACTCACTACGTCGCAGGTGTGCAGAGCCAGGAAGAGCGCGAACGCCCCGTTGGTCGGTCGGACTATCGGCCACGCTGAGGTGTTCAGATGAGGAGTTTGTAGGAACCTGTGGGTGAGTAAAAAGTATGAAATAAACATTTTTATCCCCCCTTATGACAGTCACCATTAAGTGACCTGCAGCAAACCCTTTGCAGAAACCCTGGAGGGGATCTTTGACCACATTTTTACACATTTTCACAGACAAATAAGAGCTGAATGGGAACATCAAGCGTTTTCTTTCCTTCACTGACACTTCTTACGGCGGATTTAAATCTCAAACTCTGAACGGGAGCAGATTAGCTGCAGCATTAGTTACTATGGCGACCAAGCGGGTTCAACGACCTGTGTGACACTGAAAACTCAGACTTAAAGCTCAATTTATCCTGTTAACTCATTAATCTTGCTGCATATTTCACCTTTGTAGTTGTCTTGGGGTGGAATTTAAACCACAGAGGAGATCATGGCTTTGCTTAAACGCCTCACTAACTCTGGACATTAAGAAAAAAAACAGCTTGAAACTTGAGTTTTATTCTTCAACCTTTAAACCCGTTTTAATATTTGGTTTTACTTGTCTTAATATTATCTTGTAGTTGTGCTTATAAATAACCGAGTTGACCTAAACTGGCTTGATTACAGGTAATAAAATACCTGTGAATCTCTATTCAGTCCTCTTTCTGTCATTTTACAATGATTTTTGTTTGTTTACAGTTTTACATCATGCCTTCTTAAACAACAGATGTTTGTGCTAATGTCTCAGCTGTGCCCTTAAATCTCTTTGAACACTCTTATCACCCGTCTCACTGAACGTCAGGAGGTTTGTCTTTCTGGCAAAACCGATTAAGACCCGAGTGAAACACGTTGGGGTGAAAAATCTGAAATAATCCCTTTAAGGTCATCAAACACATCAGACTTTATTGATACATTAGTGACAGAAAAATACCTGTATTTATCAACTTTGTAGTCTTAATCGAGTCTCTTTTATGCTTCCAGAACTAGTAATAATTCTTTCTGATTAAGTAGTTGTACTTGTTTAAACAGCTTATCTTCATATATTTAATATTTACATTCCAACGGGAACTCTCAGATCTTTCCTTTCTTTCTTCTGGATGTTTCTTCTACGTTGCTCTGTTGCTGTTTTCAACCCTGTGCTCTATCTTTGTGTTAATAGCGCTGCACAAACAGCGTTATCTTTAAACGGTAAAAAAGGATGGTGATAAGAGGCCAACCTGTTCCGCACGTATCGGAGGAAATCCTGGTGCAGAACGTAGAAGCGGCTCTCGTTGTACTGACCCGAGTAGTAAGTCCTCGGCCTGCAGGGTTCAAACACAAGAGACACGAGTGTAAACTGAAGAGTGACACAATCAAAGGTGTTTCTGCTGGATTACGTTTGAACAGTGCTGTCGAATGTCTTTAGTGGACCTCGAGGCAAAGCTGGATTAGGAATTCACCCGAAGCTACGAGTCGTTCAGAGTGACTCATTGTGGTGTTTCTGTTGTCGGCGGGTTCTTACGTGCAGGTCTGTGTTCCTGCCTCGTCAACGCACCGCAACGCAGGTTTATGACTAAAGAAATGAAGGAACTTAATTCTGCATTTAGCATCAGACGTGGGTACAACTACCAACAATTATAACTGCAAAGAAATCCAACAGCAGACAGATCCCTGTCATTTAATCACTTTACTCATCAACCCACAGCATATTTAAAGTCATTTCTTCAACATGAAATGGTCTTCTGCTTGAACAGACCCTTATTGAGTCTGGCGTCTGTCATGGCAGCAAATATCAACGTTTGGTTGGTTGGTTTGGAAAAGAAATGTGAGTTTTTATACCAAACATCTGCAAAAGTAACCCATACAGTCAAATGTATTCATATCCTCCCATTAAAGAAGGAAAAAACAGATGAAGTCAGTTGAAATTGACAAAAGTAATAATAAATAAAAATTTACTGAAAATCATGACATTGCTTTTTGAATTGTGGTTCAACAGAAATATATCTAAAAAATAAAAATAAAAACAAACAAGCATGATGGGACCTGTAAACTAATATCTTCAGCAAAGTGCTCTCATTTGTCTGGGACAGTGTTTTTTTTTTTTTTTTAATTATTCTTTTCAACCAAAATGCAAAAGCAACTTCTTATTTCACTAAATTATAATTTAGCAAATTTTTTATAAACACTCTTATAACGTTGTTCACTGTATATTTTTAATTCTTTATAAGCGTAGCATCACTCTGATGTTGTCATGTATGAAGTCTGATGTCTGCCACGGTGGTAATAAAACCACATCATAGTGTTAGAATATAAGAAAACTGAAAGATTGTTTTAGTTTGTATTTAAATGGTAAACTTAAAAGTGAACCATCCTTTATTTTGTGTTGAAATTCAGGTTTATTGGTTGGATTTTAAAACACAGTCAGTAAAACGTCAGGCTTTTATTGTGACCTTAATTGCAGCCATTTCATTCAAAAGTATGATCTCTTTAATCTAAAACAAGAGCTGTTGCGTTGCTGTCAATATTTTATTAAATAATGAACGTTTGACGATATTGTTACTGAGGATAAATGTCAGCTTTCTCCTGAGGAAGCGTGGAAAGGAAAGTAATGCCATGTACAGTATACATAACACTCAGAAGATGTTGTGTGTTGTTGTATTTATGCTCCCAGAATGACAGGATTCAAACTTGTGACTTTCTGCAGGCTTCAGAGAAAACAGTGTTCCAGCACTGAAAGCACACGTCTCTGCTTGCGTGTTAAATCCTCCATTTAAAACTGATTTGAGACTCACTCTATGTTGTGGAATCGACCTTCGTAAGGGATCTTCTCTCCTTTAAGGAGACCCTCGAGCCACTGGAAGTCCCTCAAACCTTCAGGAATCATCACATACTTTATACCCTGACAACAAAAAAGGACAGAACTCATCTTTATTATGTGTGCAGGGAGAATGTAAACGATATCACACAGTTGTGTTTGAGGTTCAGTACCTCATCGTGAGGGGCGCCTTTGTATCCGTACTTCTTGAAATAATCAAGCGATGCGTACATGGAGTAAGCCGTGTGGACGTAGACCGACGTTCTGCTTCCCACGTCGTCCTCATAACCCTCGATGACAGCACCGTTCATCCTGCCATGAAAACACACCACAGGCTGTGAAATACATATAAGGAAATAACATATTTTTAAAAACTATTTACTGTCATTTCACAGATTTTCCCTGTTTTTTTTAAATTACATATGATAATATCTAGTAAAATTACATAAAAAATACATAAATGTACTTAATGAAAGTAAAACAAAAACTGTAAATAGCGTCCACGTGAAAAATGTGTATTTTTACACATTATAATTTTATTCTATTATGTTTGACTGTAAAAATCACTCTTTCAACTTCATTTAAATCAGCAAAAAATACAAAAAAATTGCCATTATTTGAAAAAACAAAACAAAACAAAAAAACATAGGACTGAACAATGATAAATCATAAAAAAAATTAATACTTGATTTGATTTTACAGAAAAAATGTTAATTTACAGGTCAGCTTTTACAATTAGTAATGACTTAATTGCAGTTTTACTTTATTTAAATCCACAAAAATAACAATATTTTATTGAAATATGCAAATATTTTCACCATTTTCTTCATCTTTCTACCTTTTTTAAAAGTATTTTTTCCCAGCACCCATGCTGCTACATTTCCTTTCTTTCTTTCTTTCTTTCTTTCTTTCTTTCTTTCTTTCTTTCTTTCTTTCTTTCTTTCTTTCTTTCTTTCTTTCCTTCCTTTCTTCCTTCCGTCTGTCCTTCTTTCTTTCTTTCTTTCTTTCTTTCTTTCTTTCTTTCTCAATCATTGCATGAGATTGAAGTTCTGGACACATTTCATTATCATTTACTTTTTACTTTATTTCACGTGTCCAGCTTTATTTATTTATTTTCTTGACAAACTACCTGGAGGAGGCCGGTGCCTCATACAATTCCTGCCACTGTTCCATTTCATCCCCCATGTTCTCTGCTGGAGGTCTTCTGTTGCTCCACCGTCCTCTTTTAAATACCCCGAGGGTGTTCCGGCTCGTTCCACACACCCATTAATCACGGTTTCATCACTGCCTTTTGTTTACTGAAAACTTTACCCCTCATTTTATGATAGCGCCAGACAGATCTGGGATTAACTGGAAACTTGTGCAACACGACGCGGAAACGAAACGTCTCAAATCTTCAGCCTCTGACAGAAAAGAGGATTTTTTCCTTGTTGCTGAACTGCAGTGCTTCAGCATTTCATCACAATATGCTTTTACATTCCTTCTGAGCTACATGAATAGCTGCTTTGTGGCCCAAACAGGTTCTACAACACTGCAACATGGCTAAAAATACACAACAACCGACTTCCAGCAGCTAACTGGTCAGTAGTTTTATAATAAAATGCTGAGCAGACTGGAAGAAAATTCAGTTTTCAAGCTTATGCACAGGAGTGACATAATAATAATAATGCTTAGTGGGGGAGTCTTGACCTCCAACCATCATTTTCAAGCATACTCTTCTTTAAAAGCTTGAAAAAAAAAATAGAAATAAAGCTGAGAATCCACTCAAGGATGCACAGTCCTGACTTTTGTGTTAGTGTTGTGGTGAGACGTTGAGTTCAAAGCGCTTCTATACATTCAGCTCACATGCTTTGGAAGTTTACACAGATTTAGTCAGAGCTGTATGTACAGCGAATATCAATCTTACAGCTGCTGGTATAAAGCATATATGCACAAACTGGCGGCGGTAACGGTTAAATAGAACCGAACGTATAGAAAGTTGTGTCAACATCCTGGACCTGCTTCCTTGTTGAGCCGCTCCACATACAAAAAAAAAAAAATCATCACTGATAAGCGCTGGTGGTGGTTTGTGCTGTCAGAGCCAAACAGCTGAATGTATGGACTTAAAAAGTGAGAATGCGCAGCACATTTAAACAGGCAAATATTTTGATCCTCCTCTAAGCAGCGCTTTCGTTTCGGTCAAACAAATGAGGCGTGAAATTTTAAGCTTCTGACAACATGGGTCTGGTGTTCGCTTTACTGTGGAAGTGTTTGTTGTCATGAAGCCAAGAGCCGGAGAACGCCGAAAGACCGACAGAAAATAAGACCTCAAGCGTTTAAAATGCATAAAAACGATGTCGTTTTGTGAAGGAAAAGCCGAACAGCAGACCGTCTCTGGGAATCTCGAAATTTCATCGCAGGATTTGGAGATGAATCTACATTTAGAACTCACACATTTGGTCTGTGTGAGAACCGAACCGAAGAACATCAGAGCAAAACTACAGTTTGCTGATGAACCAAGAGGGTAAAGAGCAGGACTTTTGGAACATGGTCTGCACTTATATAGCGCTTTTATCCAAAGCGCTTTATAGTGTTTTCTCATTCACCCATTCATACACCAATGGCGACAGAGCTGCCATGCAAGCTGCTGCCTGCCATTGGGAGCAACTTCGGGTTCAGAGTCTTGCCCAAAGACACTTCGACTGTGGAGAGGCGGGGGATCAAACCGCCAACCTGGCAATTGGAGGACAACCTGCTCGACCACCTGAGCCACAGCCGCCCCAAACATCCCAACGATAGTTTTTCAGAAGAAGAACCTCTAACATCTGTGAAGCGTAACGGTGGAAACGTGATGCTTTGGGGCTGCTTCAGTGCCTCAGGAACTGGGCAGCTCGCAGTCATTGATTCAACTCTGAACTCTGCGTCATATCAAAGAGTGTGCAATGATAATCCCAGGCCATCTGTCTGAAAATTGATTTTCCAGCACGGTACAGTAGCAAATCCCCAAAGGAGTGGCGCAGAACGAAGAAATGGAGGGTTGTGGATCAAAGACCAAATCAGAATCCCATTTAAATGTCACGGGGGGATTTAAGACGGGCAGTAGATGCAAGAAAATCCTCAATTATCTTGCAACTGAAGGATTTCTGCATAGAAAAGTGGTCAAAGACTTCAGCAATATGACGTCAGAGGCTGGTGGATGATTTGGCGAAATGCCTACAAGATGCTTTTTATGCTCAGGAGGATGTCACAGTCTTCTGATGCTTTTTCTACAAAAGTATGCTCCATCTAATGCTCATTTTGTTGAATAAATGATTCCGTCCATCCATCATCTCTACACCTTAATCCTCACTAGGGGGGCTGGAGTCTATCCCAGCTGACTCAGGTTCACCTGGACAGGTAACCAGTCTATCACAGGGCTACACTTAGAGACAGACAACCAAGCACACTCACATTCACACCTACGGACAATTTAGAATCACCAATTAACCTCAGCATGTTTCTGGACTGTGGGAGGAAGCTGGAGAACCCGGAGAGAACCCACGCTGCACGGGGAGAACATGGAGACTCCACGCAGAAAGATCCCGGGTTTCCTCACCGGGACGCCAACCGGCGACCTTCTAGCTGCGAGGTAACGATGCTAACCACCGACCCCCTGAATAAACGACTGAAAAACAATCTTAAGTTAAGGTGACATCCAAGTACGTCACATTTATCTGTCAGAACTGAAAGCGGCTCCAATGGTGCTTAAAGTGACTGGTGAGAAAGAAGAACACCACATCAAGATGGGTTTGTCTCTCACAGTATATGTAGCACAAAAGAGCACAGATAATGCACCGCTGGGTTCCCACCATGGTCAAATATTGTCTCAGCTCGGACCAAGAATAACTGCTGCTTCAGGCTAATATGAAGCAAACAACACATGTTCCTTAGAATTCTCTTCAGTTACTCACAGCTTCATTGGAACCTCACTGTGCAGCAGGCGTGGCCTTACAGACGACCAGCAGCTTCTCCCCTTTCTTACCGGAAGACGTAATCGTGAGCGTCGATTTCTGCCCCCATCTTGGAGCCGTTGAGGATTCCGGCTGCGCCCACGACCGCACATCGAACACAACCGTCGCCGCCGGGCTTAGGACGCAGCAGCAGCGGCTCTTCTGGCTTTGGAATCAGTTTCACCGAAGCCATGACGTCTGCAAACGAAAAGGAACATGAAGGAGCAACATGGGTTCAGTTTGTGGTTGCAGTATGAGCAGAGGACAGCTGTGGGTTGTAGGTGTCAGCAGCAATAAGTATTTTTAACAAATCATAATTACTCAGATGACAAAACAATGAGAGGAAAGCTGTTGCTTGTAGTGAAAAATAAGCTGAATTTGTTGTTTCCCTCCAAATTTATGCAGCTTTATAATGAGTTTAGCTGCTTTGGTTCCTTCTCACTGCTCTCACAAAACCCAAAAGCTAGGGTAGAGTATTTAGCAGCTAAACCCCCTGATAACAACCTCTGGAGTTGGTTGAGACCAAACTCGGAGCTAAAACGAGAGTGAACGCTAGACTGAAATCCATCAGGTGGACGAGTGTTGCTTGTTCTTGGATGGTGATGATGTCAGTGGTTGCATTTTCATTTTGTTCATAAATCCATTAATGCAGCTTTAGACAATCGACTAATTATCCAAAATCAGACGTTTTCCGTCAACGTACTGATCAATATGTTCACATCACTGCAGTCTGGTTGCAACTGCAGAATTTTACAGTATATCAAATAGGATGTAAGAATTTTGCTGAAACTTGTAGAAGAAGGTGACGTCCAATGTTCCCGAAGTATGTGTAGCTCGACAAATATGGTGAAACTGTACGGATGTGAAAGAGGGATTAGCAGCAAACAGTGTACGTGGTGGGAAACCTGCAGCTGAAAAGGAAATACTTCTTCTTGTAAACTGGTTTTGAATCCTATAACTTAATTTAATGTCATTGTACGGAGGCAGCAGGTGTTTCTGTTTTATATTTTTATTTACTGTCTTTATCTGAGTTTTATCTTCTAGTTAAGACGATTAAGCACATTCATTTTTGAACCTATGGCCCTATTTAAGGGGTTAAAAACTAAATTCGCAGCACAGATGCACTAAAACAAAGTGACAAATTCAAACATGAAATAATTCAACAATACAAAATGCTGCTTCACGCATCCGGCCAAAACAGAGCAACAGTATCGAGTACAATAAACACCATTCATCTGAAGTCATATCTCTGATCACCTGATGATGGCTGCAGCCCAACATATACTCTCTTTTATTCTCTGGAAACTCCTGAGTGACAAGTTTAAACAGTCGCTTTGTCTGCCTGTCGTTTGGTACACAGTGAGGCCATAAAACCAAATGAGTGAGGTTAACACATCTGTAAAGCTTGTCAGTCATCCAGGTTATGGTTGTTCTGGTAGATTAATCATTAACAGTGCGGTTAAATGTGTAGGAATGATCTTTAGGGCTGAAGTCAGCTGAGGTTACCAGCTTTTATTGACTTGTTATGCTGCCTCTGACACATCTGTGATCTCTCCGTTGGCACAAAGACGCAACAATGGACTGATTGAGTTTGAAAGTCACTGTGAGCTCACAAAACTCGCTTTTGGCCAAAACCCTGGAACTCACAACGTAATCATGACAAAGCTTCACTGAACGGTCCAACAGGAAAAGTTGATGATGACATTTTATACCCAAAAGGTCAAAAGTCAACTTCATAATGCTGAAATGATTTTGTTTATTTAACGGCGTAACTCAGAAACAGAAGAATGTGACCAGATTTCACATGTTCTCACTGACTTGGCGACACTAATGTGTGATGGTACCACGTTTTTGAATTTCTAGCCTTTTTTGCAGCAACATTCACATATAAAACATCGTCTATCATCAACTTTATGCTCTATCAGAATGATCTTTATTGACCAAAAGTGAACACACACGAGGAATTAGACTCTGATTTTTGGTTCTCTGTGCACTACATCATCATATGTATTAAATCTGGACAGACAGACTGGTGTAAACTGCAATCACGATGCACTAATTCTGGTTTTCCATCATTTATTTAAAGGAAAAAGGGGCATTTTCTTGCTAAATATGAGAAAATATGTGGAAAAATTGTTGCTAAAATGATACAAAAGGTGCTCAAAGTGGGTATTTTTATCAAAACAATGGGACTTGTTGAGACATTTTGACTAAATCCAGAAAAAGGAAGAGGAATAATGAAAATATCTGTGATTACTACGTGTCTTTTAATCAGCAACCCCCTATATTAGTTGTGAAACAGTCACTCAGGACACTTGTTATCAGTCTCACGGACACACCCACCGTTGTACTTGTACTCCATAAACCCAAAAGGGTTGTTGAAGTGTGACAGTCGGTTCCACTCGCTCATGTTGATGTTGTCTTTGTGCAGGAACAAGCGGATGTTGGGGAGGAAAGCCTTCCTGAAGCTCTCATCTTTAGAGTTTCGCAGAGATTGTTCACAAGTCTGACAGAGATAAAAAAACCAATAAATGACACCTGTGACAGTCAGGTCACTGAGAGGCCAAACAATCACAGAAATACCAAACGATTTTAAAGGTGTGAAAGAGCTAAAGCAAACAGGAGAATGCAGGCGGGTCACACCAAAGACACACAGCTGAACGCCCACGAGGTTAACACACATTTCTGCTGTTTCTGTCCCGTCTTGTCGTGGCACGCTTACTGTCGGTCTAGGTGGGGCGTCCTGGTTGTAAACATCCTCGAAATCCCACCGAGGAAGCATCTTGAAGGACTTTTTGTAGAGGACGGGCATCGGAGTTTCATTTTTGGCTCTTTTACTGGCTTCAGCAGCTTTTGTCGACTCGGTGGTTTCTGCTTTGGTGGTTAAACCGGCGGTCGAGCTCACTTCCCAGAATGAAACGCGACTGTGATACGAAATGTTTTCCCCTCTGTGCCTGTACATTCCTGAGAAATCTGCCCAGCTGAGTTGGAAATTTGACAATAAAAAAAAAAAAAAAAAATCAACAGATGCAACAAAAAAAAAAGATTTAAAAAAAAAATTCACAAAACAAGAAAATGCTTCACTGGAAAATACAGATTGCAGATTTAAAAAAGTCACACAAAAGCTCATCTTACCTGATGCTTTTTGGTAAATGTTCCCACGATAGAATAAAAACCATAACTGATGCCATGAAGAGCACAGAAAATATCCTGGAGACGTGGACCGCCATCCTTCACAAGTGCTGCCATTCAATTAAACAAGTGTTTGCTTTCCGTCCTGGAATTTGTTCACAGGTGGAAGAAGGAGAGAGAGAGAGAGAAAAAAAAAACACCTGAAGTATGTGTTGGCTTTCCACGGAGGTGATGGGGCAGGGCTACTTTTACGGATGCAGGGATGAACGATAACGCAGAAATGAATCATTTACACGCACGAGGCTTCACAATAATCTGGTTTATTACACAACAAAGAGGAGGATATGCAGAAAGAACTTTGCAGGATTTATACCTCTTATATATACTTAATTAGGATACTTTAAAAAAAAAGATTTGGTCATAAATTAACTAATAAAAACAGGAAACTAACAGAAACAGCATTCATTTATCCCTTTTTTTTGTTTTAGGCCTTTATCACCTGCTGATGGTGCAGCAAAGAAAACAATATTAAAACAGAGCGGTTGTCGTAACTGTACAGCTGTGGTGAATACTGCAGATGAGTGGATTTAAGTATTTGGTGTACTGAGAAGTCCTTCATGGGTTTAAAAAAAAAAAAAAAAGAGCCTTGTTGGAGTCCGACGGGAGGCTCAGATGGAGTAAAGCCGGAGCTGCTCCTCCATGTCTCCCTCGGAAACGTCCCCGAACGTCTCCTTGTTGTCCTTCAGCAGCTGGAAGATGGCGGCCAGCTGCTCACGTTGCACCCTGAGGAGAGGAAGAAGCTCTGAGAGGTGGAAGAAAGTAATGATCCCGCTGATGGCTGGTGTAGACTTTTATTAGGCCTGAATGATTCGGGGGAAGCGTTGCATTTGATTTGAACTCATTTGCTTCTTGTTGCTTGTCCTATTTTGTTAATTGAACCCTTGTTTTTATGGTTTTACTCCTGATTTTCTTTTACTCTACTCTCTTTTCTTACCTTTTACTCTACATATCTGTACTTTTTCTTTCCATTTAATTTGCTGTGACATTTTTTGGTGCTTCTATGATTTGATTTCGTGTCTGTTTCTCCACTTTTATACTGGTTTTCTGTTGTAATCTTGTCTTCCTGAGGATCCACTTCTTGTGTCTTGTCTGCGTAAACTCTGTTTTGACAAGGCGCCACGTTAACAAAGCTCTTATTATAATTGTTATATCGCAATAGAATTTTCTCAAGTCAAGCCTCAGCTCAAAATACTGTGAAACAGATTTTAAAACGTTTGATGGAGAATTAACACAAAGCCTGACGGTTGCACAAGGACGACGGCAGGCATTTGTAAAACCACGGACGTGACAGTATGACGTCTGAAACGTACAAAATGTGGCTAAAAAGTTAACGAACCAGCGCTCGTGTCAGTTATAGCCTGAACCGCAAAGTCTGTATTAATCAACGAGGGTGCATAAAAGCTTGAATTAAATAAAACTGAATTACAGCATTAGTGTCATTGTTTAATAGCCACACATTGAATATTCTAATTTGCAGCCTTTGCGATTTCCTAATTGCATTCTTACAGTTTGTGATTTGGACATAAATAAAGGCTCAATCAGAGGCCACATCTTTCCCAACATCATATTATTATTTAATTAAAAAAAAAAACCCCTCCAATTGTTTTTTTCCAATTGTAAAAAAATCAAAAAGTAAAGAATTAATCATATGAACTAAACCCAACAGGTGCAAAAACAACAGTGAGAAATAATAAACTAGAGAATTAAAAGCTCCACATTTGGGGAAATACTGTTATTTTCTTCCTGGTGACGAGTTTGATTAGAAGATTTCTATCACTGGGAAACGGACACCAGTATGTGTTTGTACTTCTGGGATTTATTAACAAGCATCTGGAGACATTTAGCTCCTGAAACGTCAATCATACTAGTAGACACATTCTGCTGGTTTATTGTTGAACTTAAAGGAGAAGAAGCGATTATTTCCTTTTTGTCTTACTGGGAGTTAAATGAGATAATTAACCCTCTTTCTCTCTGATTGTGTGTTACAGTCAGGGAAATAAGGATTTTATACATTTTTTGAAGCGTTTAGGTCGTTACTACGTGAATTAATGGCAAATTCACATCATAAATAACACCATAAAGTCTTGATGTCAGTACTGATGATGGCTGTTTTAACTGTATTATACAAATAACACGATTCATGCTGTTGAATTTACAGCTGCTTGACTTAAAGACTAGAAACAGTTTGAATCAGCGTTTCCCCCTTTTTTTAAATTTTACTGTTTGTGCACTAATTTAATTTGCAGCTTCACATATAAAGGACAGATTTAAGAGTAGCGTTTCCTGTATAATTTTGGGTAAGAAAGTGAGTTTTTCCTGCTCAGAATGGACCTTTAGGGGCTTAATATGGACGACAGTGAGCATAATCGGTCTGTGCACAGTAAAGGCAATGAGTCTGTTAACTGAATCGACAGAAATCTGTGAATGAGACCATCTGATGAAAACAATTTTTAAAAAACCTAACAAATATCTATCAAGCTTGAGTAAATAAAACCCTAAATAACAAAACAAGCTTTAAAAAAATACCTTTTTCTTTTAAATTCTCATTTTTTTAAACCATTTTGCTGCTGAGATTTTCGATGTAGTGAAAAAAAATTCCTTTAATCAGGAGAAACACAGTTTCTCAAACTGTTTATTTTTGATGACTTAAAGCAGCTTGAGGTTTTTGATCCGACTCACATGTCTGCAGGAAATATCTGGTCACATATTTAAAAGTGCATGAGCTGCTCAGAAAACAAGTCATTTTTATTGCAATTATGACAACAATGCACCTTAAAGCCTTAAAGGGAGACACAGGAGGGAATGACGAGACAAAGAAGGGAACTCTGATCAAGTGTTGACAAGTTAAAAGTTACCAAAATGCAAATAATGATGACCTTAAATCCTCGTGTGCAGAATTTATTAATTAATTTCTGACTTGTGCCCAAATAAATGAGAGGAAAGGGGTCACATATTAGTTTAAAGTCATCCGTGCATCCACCTGCCATCACAAATCACCAGATTGTTTTCTCTTATCGAACTTCCCATTTTTTCCCTTCAACCAGCCTCGACTGTCTCGTCAGCAGCGTGTGGTGTCGCACCGACTCCTCCTTGTGGCGGAGCAGAAGCTTAACTAACGCTCAGAGACACAATCGACGCCTGCCGCGACACCTCAGGATCACACGTCTAATGTGGAACAACGGGGCAGCGGGAGGACAAAGCAGGTGAGCAGCACTGCACAGTCACATCGGTCGCTTCGTGGCCACTTGAGGATCAAGAGCTGAAAACACCGAATCACTGCGAGTGTAAATTGGCTCTGGTTTAATTACAATGGCCAGAAAGTGACTCCTCTGGGACAAACAGGTGACAACAACTCATACTTTACCACAGATTTCCTTCTGTTTTTGTTCAGGCTCACAGATAGTTAAAGTCTGTGTTGGAGTGTATCCTGTAACGATAAAAACACTTTGAGCGGTTTTGTTCAAGTCCCGTGTGATTCATCCGTCAGCTAATACCTGGCAGAGGCTCAATCTCGCCTTACTCGGTCTAGCCTAAAGCCTGAGCGGCGATACGGCGGCTAAACGTGGGAGAGGCTCTGAGAGGAAGGCCAACAACACACAAGACACACGTGAAGCAGCGAAGGGAAGGTTAGAGGAAGAAGAAGAAGAAGAAGAAGAGGCTGGACAGACGACAAAAACTGTAACTGAGAATCCTGGAGATGATAAAATCCAGTAACCAGCTCAGCAGTTTCATCTCCTCAGGCACAGTTAGGTGATAGTTTAAACTTATAAAGGTCACTTTATAGATCAGCTAGAAGCCATGAATAAGAGGAATTGTTGGGTTGCCAGGTTGTAGGTTATGAGACATGCAAAGTGTCCTAATGGAGCACAACCTGGAAACCCAAAAATAAGATTTATTAACCCCACAGTGGGGACATTTGCAGCAAAAACATAGCAGAATAACAAAAATAAACCAAAATATATACACATCTGTTCTGATTCTTCCATTCGGATCGATGGATAAAAGCTTCCTCTGTCTTATCTGAGAGCGGTGTCCATATTTGTAGTTTTCACTGACCTCTGCTCCTCCTCCAGCTCCTCTTTGGACATCATCATCTCCAAATGGTGGGATCTCGCCTTCCCCGGGACGTACTTCAAGGAGTCATTTGAGTCCGCCACGTCTGTTTAAAGAGATCAGAAGCCAATTAGCAGTCGATTAAAGCTGCATTCTGCACACAGAAGCTGGAAACATTTCACTCACAGCTTCTTGAAAGTGGGTTAAAGGGCTCACCGTTGACGTCTGGGCTCTCTGTGGCTCCTTCGGTCTGGGGGTAAGAGAAAGCACACTTTAGGAGCTCCGTGTCAGAGAGCCCGATGAAGGACCTGGGACCTCTGCCCGACGAGGCCTCTGAGGACGAGTCTACCTCTAAGCTCATGTCTCTAGATGCAGGCCCGGGGAGGCTGGAGGTGGAGGACAGCTCCACTGGTGCTGCCAGCTCCTCGGTGTGGAGGTGGGGGTGTGCCTCCTCCTGTCAGGGAATCAGGTTATTAATGAATTCCTGCATGTCTGATCTGTTTGTCATCCTCCAACTTTCCTGAGACACTTTAGGTCATTTTTTTGGAGCATTTTCATGATGAAGTTCCATTAAAATTAAACAAACTCTCATTTTACAGCAGTTGAATCACATTTAAGTGCATTTTATCTCAACATTTTAGCGCTTCTTCCACCTCTGGACGTGCACCTGAGTGGCAGGCATCATGCGCACAGCAGATTAAAGGAGAATTACGCATCGCAAACGCCTCGGACAGAACAAAACAACCCTCTCCCAGCGTGTATGACAGATTACTGAGGACTTACTGACAGCACAGATTTCACTACATCCCAGTGATCGTGTGAGCTCCCGCTGATCTCGCTCCAGTCGTCCACCTCCGCCGCCTCCTTCTTCTTCTTCTTCTTGTCCGGTACGTGTCCGTTCTGCCTCGGCCCTAATCCTCCCGCGTCTCCTCGGTGTCCGAAGTAACTCCGAGCGTTTGCGAAGTCGGCTGCGGGCGAGGATCCGTTCAGCAGCGACGTCGCGACCACAATGGCGAGAAGCGTGAAGATGATCGCGGATAATACAAAAGTTACCTCCATGGCTCGGCCGGCTGCTCGGACTCCTACTGCCGCTGTGTGTTCACCTGAGCCGCCCGCATGCGCTCACTCAGCCATCGCAGCCTTGCGCGCAGTAATCCTCACCAAACATCAACTTTAACGAGCGAGCGTTCACGGGATATTGCACAGGACGTCACATCCTCCGGTTCCTCCTCCTCCTCCTCCTCCTTCCCACCTCCCTCCTCCCTCTCCCCCCGGGGGCCCGTGTGCGCCGCTGCGGCCGCGCTTCACCCCCCAGGTGCCGCGGAGGTCAGGTGGGCTGGCACGGCGCGCTGCAACGTGCTCGCTGCCTCCGCCTCGGTAATCCCATCAGCGGCGACAAACTGCAAGATTGAAATGGTTTGTGACAGGATCCCGTGTACTGGAGGCATAAAGTCAAGCTGGGTTTACCGGCAGTTAAAGGAAAATGTGTTCTCACCTCAGTCTGCAGCAGGGATTTATGGCGGCAGGTAAACAAGAGGAGCAAAGTGCGAGAAATCCATCATCAGCCATCAGCATGCTACACCCTGGTGCCTGCTAGAGGTACTCACCCTGACTGGATTCCTTTATTTGTTTTCAACATTGAATAATGGGCAGTTTTATTTGTCTTTTTTTTTCAAGAATTTACAAAAAAGACTCAGATTTCTGCAGAGTAATGTCAATTTATTAAACATATAAGACAACTGACTGCGCAGAACCATTGACTCCAATGTAATTATGAAATGGAGATCTAAATGTAGTGGACACTTTTTATTTAATTTGTTTATATTTATCCTTTATTTAACCAGATAATAAACCCACTGAGATCGAAACCTCTTTCACGAAACCTCGTTCAGACCTGGCCAAGAAAGGCAGCAGCACAAGTCCACAAGTAACCACACAACAAAACAATCACAAATAAACATGAACACATCTCAGCTTAATTTGTATTTTTTTCCTACCAGATTTAACCAGAAAATGACTCTTTCGTGTCAAAGTGAGAACAGATTTCTATAAAGTAAAATCCATTCTTAAAAAATAAATGATTGTATAAAAATTCACCCCCACATGTTCAGAGAGCATCAGAGTGCAGCAAATGTGTCTCCAGTGATTGTAGTATAAAGACTCCTGTACCTGGAGGGTCCACTCACTGGTACAATAATATATATAACTGCACTATAAAGACAAACAAACACTTAAAACAACTGTGTGAAAAGTGATTGAAACACATCAGTCAGCTAAGTACACTTCAATCCATCATTAAGGAATGGAAGGTATATAACACATGTGTACATCTGCCCAGAGTAGGCCTGCCTCAAAAATAGTGACTGAGCAAGAAGGAGACTAGTGAAGGAGGCCACCAAGACACCTATGGCTCTTCTGAATGAGTTACTAGAAGGAGACTAGTGAAGGAGGTCATCAAGACACCTGTGAGTCCTCTGAAGGAGTTATAAGCTTCATTGACTGAGAATGAGAGATGGTGCAGACAAAAATTGAGCTTCTTGGCCAGAGTAGATTCTATGCACGGTGGTGGCAGCATCATGATGAGGGGGTGCTTCTTGGCAGCCGGCCCTGGCAGGCTTGTACAGGTAGGGGGTAAAATGAAGGTGGTATACTACTACTTGCAATGTGCTGAATCCAAATATTTCATTGGTTTTGCTCAATGAGGTCAAAATTTTAATTTGATGAAACATGCAATTTACTCGTATTTACCTTTACAAATGTTTATACTCATCAACTTTTGGATCATTTAGTTTCTGAAAAGGATTACAAAATGATTTTTTTCCTCTAAAAGCTGATTTCATATGAGAAATACTAAAATAAATCAATCACTATTGTCAAAAGATGTAATCGATTTAGTGGCAAAATCGATTTTTTAAAACCGAGCTGGCATAAAAACCTGACCTGATGCAGAAAAGCAGATGTCGTGTTTGAATTCATCGTTGCAAAAAAAGTATTTTTTTGTAACCCAGTGTAATAATAATAATAGTAGTAATAATAAGGAAATCCGTGAGGACAACCTGAAGCTTTTGGCAATGTAAGTGTGACTTGGGGGAGAATTTGTTTCTGAGCGAGACATCAACCTGAAGCAAGCAGGCAAAGCTGCAGAGAAACAGAAGGCAAGAAGGTGAATGTTGTGGAGCGGCCGAGTCACAAACGCAGATCAACTGAGAATTTGTACCTGGACTTATAGTTTTAAGTGAATTAAGATGCCAACTATTTACACTAAACTCAGACTGACATGTAAACCCTTACTTTGTCTGAGAAGTCACAGCTCCAGGCCTTTGGGTTTTAGCTAATTCTCTACAAAGCTGGTAGGATTTTGGTTTAGATGCTTTGGTAAACACTTTACAATTGAATTTTTAAAACTTTAATACATTTTGCACAAATTGTAGAATGCTTTGCTTAGTCAGTGTTATTGAGCAAAGGGGGGAAAAAGGAGCAATATTATGATTTTAAAACTGCATATATATGCACACACACGACTCACCTCTTAAAATAATCAAATTTGCATTTTCTGTGCCATCATGACTGATGTTTGATATTAGCAAATCCTTCTCAGACAAAGCAAAATTGTGGTACCAATAAGCTCCAGCATCAGGTATGTCAGCCTGTTCTTAGCATATCAGCATTTCCACACATGCATACATTTAAACTCAAACTTTTGAAACAATTCCCAACATTAAACTTGTTTCCAAAATGTTGTATTTTGTACTTTACCAAACACGCACCACAGACCCTCAGGTTTGCCCAGAGAATAAACTGGTATTAGATTAACTGCATATTGACAGACACTGTACTCTTCTGCATTCTGTATATACCAAAAGAAAAGTCCCTGAAAAGACTGAAATGAGTTGATGTTTGTGTCATACATATATGTTGTCCCTCCAAAGCAATTACACAGAAAAATGGAAAAAAAATAAATAAATAAAAAAAAGACAAAACATATTTAGAACAAAGATGTTTATTAGCATTCACCTGAAGCAATTACAAGACATCTGAGAGGTTCACAGAGGAATGCAATACACAAAAAAATATTCATTAAGCAGCCAGAACTGCCTTTTTAAACCCTTCACTGGGGGTCGCTCTGGACCCAATTTCAAAGCGAGCAAGACCAATTATCAACAGTGGATAAACCACAGAAGGTTGGGAGGGGAGGGGAGGGAGGGAGGGGGAGAGGAGGGAGAATAAAGAGAAAAGGAAGGAGAGGGGGAAGAGAATCTGTACAGCACATGGAGGGAAGGAGAGGTCACAAGACAGGAGAGGATGGATGATCTGCCACACCTGTGAGCTTACAAACCGGCAAACGGCAGCGGAGGGTCGAGCCCCGGAACAGCGCCGGGCACTCAGCACCGCAACACGCCACACCATGTCACCACCGCACTGCACCGCATCTTAACAGCTAACCAGCATTACTCAACTGCTACACAACTGCGCCTAGTGCACAAAAGATACACAAGAAAGAGGGTTAGAGTCATAGGAAAGCAACTTTAACCAGACAGAAAAAAATAAGATTTGACAGAAAAAGAAAAATACTATGCTGCTGGATTAGCGATCACAAATTCAGTCGCTTGTATGATACTGTACATTAAGCCATTTTTTCCTCTGTAAGAGTGGTATAACATAACTGCTCTGAACATCAAACGTGACGGCCTCTTCTACATCGACTTTGCAAATAAAACTCTTTCACATCCGACTGGAAAGAGTGCTAAATGAGATATTTCACTGAAAGGAATCTACTTTTAATTCAGAAGAATTTATTAACAAGTACAAATTCAATCAAAATGGCAAAATTAAAAAAAATTTAAATGGGACAAAAAAATACCCTTTCAATATGCTCAGCTTTACAAACGACCATGTCAAAGTTACAGGATTTGTTTAGGCGGATTAAGTCAAATTAAACATTTAAAACATTTTAGACCAAGCTCCAATAACCTTTCAGTCTGCGTTCAGTGGTAATAGTGGAGTCCACTCGCTCAATGTGAGACTGTTCCTGATGTCCTCAGCAAAGGCTCAATCATCTGAGATCTGGAAGGAAAGACAGCACGGAGTTACCAAGAGAAAAGCTACAAGATCACATTTCACTCCTGCAGCTGATCTGGATATTTAAATGCAGTACTGGTCTGATCTGTTCCCTGACACTAACATTTATCAAACTCACTTTGTAGTCATCCATTCTCTTAAAGTAAACCTAACATTTCTAGCAAGTTTCACATTTGTTTTACACTCCTTTGCTTGGCCCCACACCCCCAAAAACTAGCTCTAACAAGATTCTTACACTCGGGCATATTTGAAAAACAAACCTCGGGGTCCGTTCCCTTTGTGAGAGGCGGAGGAAACCACAGTGCTCAGTGCATCTGCCTGTGATCCCCGTGAACGTACCTCACCACACCACCTCATACACCAACTGACAGCCCGAACCACCGCCATGACGACCTGCTCCATAGCAACCACCGTTGCCTTGGTGACCTGCTCCTTAGCAACTGCCATCGCTCTCAGCAACAGGCAGGTCACATGGGCGGGTCACACACTAACTGCTCTCACACTGCCACACCCCCATCTCCTCCTTCTCCTCCTCCCTTTGCAAACAGGACTCCGCAGCTTGGAGGAAAGAATTCCACATTTAGGTGAACGTTTTGAGTGAAGCACCCCCACGTCCCAACCACCCACTCCCTCCCGTACACACTCACATCAGCACAAATGTGATTACTAACCCAATTTGACATACATGATAGTGCCAGTCCGAATCTCCTATCGTCTGTGTGTGCTTTGAATTGGCTGCACATACATGCAAAGTAAAGCACACACAGAACCAGAACTTTAGATTACATGAGTCCCAAACTTATTTTAACTTCTAAACATATTGAGAATTCTGCAGACTTAGTTGCTTGAGTGCAAATGACTGCAATTCAGCAGTAAGACTGCAGAATACAAACACAACTGATGACTGATTGTCATCTCAAACTTAACACAACATTTAAGGCAAATAACGAAATCCACCCTTTCCCCTGAATACCATCATGTTGTGTCCAAGTTTGGGTTAACACTCTGCTCCGTTGTCCTCTGGCGATTTAGGTCTACTCTTGGATTTGGACCTGGATCTGGACTTGGACCCTCTGTTGGAAGGCGGGGTTCTACTCCTCGACTTGGACCTGGAGCGGGACCGAGACCTGGAAGGAGACTTTGACTTGCTTCGTCTTGGGGTTCTGGACTTGGACTTAGACTTGGACCTGGACCTCGACCTGGATCTGGAGTAGGAGCGGGACCTGGAGCGGCTGTAGTGGTGGCGGCTCCTGGATCGGGACCGGCTTCTGCTCCTGGAGCGGCTGCGGCTTCGTCTGCGACGGCGGGGGCTGGCTGAGCGGCTGTAAATGCAGACAGAAGGGATTTAATCAGACAGCAAGAGAGGACGGGACCTGATATCCTATCTGATCGTGCTCAGAAAGAGGCAGAGCTGGAATAAGGCACCAAGTTGTTACACTTATCAACAGTTAAATTGATAAGAACTATATTTTTTAGGAAGTGAACCTTGAACTTAAACTACATTTTAATCTTATTCAATGCATAACTGTTTGCACATAAAATCCTTATGATGAAAATAATCGCTATAGGTGCAGCCCAGTGCACTTTAACATACTAGGATAAGGCACACTAGAATAACACATAAAATATGACTCCTCAACTGTAAATAACCTGCAAATGTTAGTGCAGTGTGAACCGTACTAACATTATAGAACGATATCTGATGAAAACAAGCAAGAGATGTTGTCCTACTACTTTCGTTTACGGCGCCATGTGCTCCTCGTTGCCTCTGTACTCCTACATTTACGGGTCCCTGGACTAAACCTGAGCCGGAGTTACCTCCTGCTTCTGCGTACGTACCCTCCGTATCTGCGCGGCGCAGCTCCTCTCCGGCTGTACATGGAGTCCGGCGGTCTTCCGTAGCGGGCCATCTGAACCCGCAGCTCCCGCCCGTCGAGCAGCGCGCCGTCCATGGCGTCCATTGCGTCCTCGGCGTCGCGCTTGTCGAGGAACCGCACGAAGGCGAAGCCGCGGCTCTCCTTGGTGTACCTGTCCCGGGGGATGTAGACGTCTCCCACGCGGCCGTACTTCTCGAAAACTCGGCGCAGAGTCTCCGGCGAAGTTCGGTACGTCAGGTTGTCCACTTTCAGGGAGGTCATCCCCTCCACGTCTGGCGGCGGCCTTCCGTAGCTCATTTTCTCGTCTCTAAGCAACAGCGCAGGGCAGTTACGAAGGAAACCGTTAGGCCCTGTTGTGCAATAAAACGACTACTTATGCGTTTCAAAACAACCAACTTTAACTTTTAATTCAAATTCGAGCGTTTCACCTGCCTGTTTGGCCCTTCACGTCGCTCCTACCGCGCTGCTTTTCACGTGAAATGGCGGCAATAAAGCTTCCTTTTCCCCTTTCTTTGCGCCCCTTGTTGGCCCGCTCTGATTGGCCGCTGGGCCGCCCGCCTCCCTCACGCTAACCGCCACAGCGCCCCCTGTCGACCTGGAGGCGGCCATGACAGCAGCCGCGGACCGCTATTTCTGCCTTTGTTCGGTTTACTTCACTTTAAATCACCGAGCTTGCTTTTTCACTACGAGTTAACGTTTATTTTTCTGTCAGCTGTAAACGTTATTGCACCGGTTTTGGGGGGTTTTCCCGTTGCGCCACTCTGCTAGCTTGTTTGTGATTGTACTTGTTGCGGGGAAGAAAAAAAAAAAAGCTTAAATTGACGAGATTTAACGGGTGCTTCCACTCGTGGGGTGAACGGGTAACGTCGGTGTGTACGTGTGCGTGTCCCACGGAGCCTCTCGTCCTCTTCTGCACTGCAGTCGCACGGTTGGCGTAGGAAGGTCACGTTATAAGGCGGCTCGTCACTAGCGGCAGCCGAGCGAACGGGGGACTGCGCAAAAAATCACGGTCCGGATTTGTGCCTGGCTGACGTCATGGGGAGCCACAGACCTCTCTGACAGGATCCAGCGACGACGAGCGCCGGGGAGCAACATCCAGCAGGGGCCGTGGGGGGAGAACAAGTCGACGGACGTTGCTTTTTTTTAGTAGAAGTAGAAGAAACAAAACAAAAATAAAGGAAAAAAGAGAGAGCGAATAAAGCAGGCGATTCGGCTTCGGCGGACTGAGCGACCGCGGCTCACCATGAGAGCGCTTCCCCGCTGTTGAGGCGACTACTACGGCTTGTTTTCTGCCTCAAAACGAGCCGACCAGCGAGAGGAGGGGAGATAAGCAGCCAGAGGACTAATCCCCGGGACGGTCACATTCACGGCGGGGCTTGGACCCGACAGAAATGGACAGGGCAGCACGAACTGGATTAAATGATAGGGAATAAAGAGGCGCAGCGCACAAAGCCCGAGCTGAAGTGTTATGCCCGTTAACCCGTCGGGTCTTCATTTGACTGGAAATGGGAGCTTTGACGAGCAGACAGAACATAGGCGTGGAAGAAGTGGACATCCCGTCCAATTCGGTGTATCGCTACCCACCGAAATCCGGTAAGTGCGCCGAACAACAGGTCACACCGGGGTGGGAAGCTGTGCCACGCTCCACGGCTCACTGCGGATGGTTTACTGTGGGCACGAAGGGGGGGAAAGCATCACCATCACGCCGTGTTTGCTCGCGGGCCTGCAGGGCAATTCAGCCTCCAACCTGGAGGAGCTACCTGTGGAGACCTGTGCTTCACATAGATAGGCCACATCTCCACTTTATGCCACATATTTGTTATATTTTTAATCTTCCTCACGCTGCTGCACTGTTGTAATACCCATGCATTATCCTCTAGTCATATTTCTAATTTCCTCTCCTCTGCATATATTTGTGCAAGTTAATCTTCTGTTTTTCATCTCTCTGCTGAGCCCCTTTGGCTTTTTCCTTCCTTGGTGCATCTGTGTTGGTTTTTTTGGCATCATGACTAAATCAGGCTGGCCTTGGAAATAAATAAGTCATGATGGATTCCCAGAGGATGAAAATAAAAAAAATAAAAAAAACCTCCAGCATCACAGCCATCAGCGGATAAGTTTCATCCAATGACTGGCATGTATTCAGTTTTTATAATTAAGAGAAGAACTGCAACTAATGATTGTCTTCGTTATCCTTTAATTTGTGGGTCATAATTTCCCTAAATTAGGAAAACAGCCAGTTCTATATAAAATCTTAATTTTTTTAAGGCTGGAGTTGAAGACAATTTTGCATTTTAACTTTTTAAATCACTTGTAAATGCTCATGCTGCGAATCAACTAAAATATTCTTAATTTAAAGATACTTAGACATTATGAAAAGCATCAGAAGGGATTGTTTTGTGATTAAACGGCATCTTTTATCACAAATTAATCCTTTCAGATGATTGTCAGGTAATAAAACAGCAATGAAACAGGTCTGAAAGTTTATTCTTGTGAAATGTTATGAAAATGGGTTAAAAACGACAAACATTTGGAATCGAAAATGGAAGCTAGAACCTGTGAATTTTTGGTAACTGTTCTTAAAAATGTTCTTTTCACCAACAAGTTAATTTTTTGAGCGGCTGTTTCAGCTCCAATCCAAACCCGTCTGTTGGGGAATACTTTTCAGTCTTGGTTACCAATTCTTTGACTAACTCAAGTTGTGTATTATTAAGGAACTGTTGGTTTATGACACATTCGAGAGGTGCTTCTTTTATTTTTATGTTGTTTCGATCAGCCAGCTCTCTCACCGGCAGCCCACCTGACTCCCAGACTGTCCTTTGGACCTCAGCCTGACCTCTGTGTTTTCAATCTGTCACGTTATTGTTCCTCTATGTGACATTTTCTGATTGCGTCACTTTGGGGCTTTAGCAGTAATCCAATTTCACCATCCAAAATGGAATTGTGTTGGAAGATATAATGCTATTGCTTTTCAAATCTGCCCTAAAGCAGAGACATAAGAGAAAATAAAAAAATCTCCCGCAAAAAAATGAGATCTGAAACCAAATTACATGCTCGGACTTCAAGCATCTTAGATTCATGGTGACATTATGTACCGAAGGAGGGATGAAAGGGAAGAGAATTGTTGACTTGTGGCTGCCACTCTCACCACAGCAGCCGAATTAGTCACCGGCTGTGTGAATCTGCGATATAACGGTGCCGGTTGCTGCCTGAAGCAGAGGTGGTGGTTGTGGGGACGCTGGGAGGGGAGGAAGGTGGCGGTGGCGGTGGCTGCCAGTGAAACCGATCCGTCAGCCCTAGTTCCTGTCTGTGGGATCTGGTGACAAAGCCTGAGCCCGGGTCGACTCTCCCACCTGCCGTAAATAATAAGAAGGTGATGAGGTGAAAGGAAGAGAGCTTCGTCATTGGAGCCTTTTTTTTCCTACCCTGTTAATGGCTTTCGGGTCAGAACATCCAAACCCTTCGTCCTCTACGTGAAGGGAAAAAAACAAAAAGATGCAGCCTGATTCAGAGCTGCGATGCCAGACTAAATGTCCTACCAGCAGAAACATGACTTTGCTGCCCAGCATATATTTAAAGACGGTGAACCACCATTACAGTCTTATGATATTAGCCTGCCCTGTGATTAAAAAGCACAACGCCTTTTTTAGTCTTGTTGTCATCAACTTTGAGTCTCGGTAAACAGGTAGACAAGCAAACAGTCAGTCAGCATTTCATATAATGATAAGAAAAGATAAACTGCTCCTCCCTTTCTTTCTATTTCTAGTCTTACCTGCCAGTTTTCAGGATAAATTTAAATTCACGTGTCATCGCCTTGCACTTTGAGATGACTTGGCAGCGGCTGCAGGTATCTGTGGACGGCAGTGCCAGCTAAACGGTTCAAATATTTGAAGGAAGTGTTAATGTTTTATGCCAGCGAAGGGGGCCAGATGGGAAGGTTTGGCGACTGGCAAAAGAATAACTGCAAAGACTCTCAGCTTGCAAGCACTCGTTTTATCCTGGGGCTTCAAATTTCACTTTCTCATAATAATTAGAAGAAAGCAACGTTTCTTTTATTTATTTCTCATAAAAATCTACACTTTGCTTTGCTGTTCGAAAAGCTGGATAAAGACAACAAGGAATGGCATCAAATCATTTCATTTACTCTCACATTTAAAGAAAATAAAAAGCATAAAAACAGCTCAAATGCTAATAAATGGACGTATACAATTGAGTTTTGAAATTTCCAATTATTCCAGTGCAGCCTATTTAATCAATCAAAATAAATAAAAACAACAATTACATACATGGAGAATGGAACTCGGTGTTATTTGTGGCTACACGGGCACCTTTTGCTCCTCACCAGTGTGTTGTTATGATCTGTTTCCTTTGTTTAAAGTGATTCTCTGTGTGTGCAGGGAGCTACTTCGCCAGCCATTTCATCATGGGGGGAGAGAAGTTTGACTCCACCCATCCGGAGGGTTACCTGTTCGGGGAAAACACAGACCTTAACTTCCTGGGGACCAGACCGGTAGCGGTAAGTATTGTCGTACACTAACAGCTCCGTTAAATGTCGAAACTCGAACAAGTTCTAGGGTAGATTTCACCAACACAGACTTTGAGTGGCTTCGATTAGGCATCACTATGAATTCCACATAAACTAAGACCTTTTTGAGCTAAAAAAAAACAAAAATACAACTTTATTCTAGCAGAAGATTCACTCTTACAAAATGTTTTTAACAGCTAAGACATTATTTTGCCAAAAACATGTGGCCAGTGTTGGCCGCTGGTGACGAACCTCCAGCAACACTCTGGCAATAACGAGACGTTTACCACCGCTGGCAAACATGTGCTCCAGCGGTTTGACACCACAGTTTGCCACAAGTGCTGCATTTCTGGTAACAAGTTTAGTGCCAAACATGTCAGTTTATGGTTGCCAGAAGTAGCATTTCTTGCAAGAATGGTATCATTTTGAGTTTGCTGGTTGACAGTTGTGGCGAACGTT